TTTTTTTTCTTTTTTTTTTTGTTTTTTTTCTCCAACACCCATTATTTTTCTCCTCCACCTTCATTATTCACACTATTTTTATTTTTTTTTACTTTTTTTTTCGAGACCTTCAACTCCCAACTTTCTGCGTCAAGTCACCTCACACAATCGACATCAAACAGAATAATCACTAGCACATTTCAAAAATATAAACAGATCGAGACCAACTTACCATGAATAAAACACATAAATATTAACTGTCATGTCTTTGTCCCTCAAATAACAACACTTCAAGAATTTAACCAGAAATTATTAATCCAAGTCATTATAACGAGCACAATATTCCAATAGACTCTCATGTCATCATCGCAAAATTCCACATACAAATAGACTCTTACTCAAGCAAATCAAGGAAATATATAATAATCTAGCATATAAACCTCTCACACTAACACACCTCCCCAAACTTAGCGTTTGCACATAAGAGAACAAAAATAGGAAGTAAAAGGAAGGAGTTCACCTTATCGAAGAGAGGAAGTCGCGGTCGCACACATTGGGTTGCCTCCCAACAAGCGCCTTTTTTTATTGTCGTTGGCTCGACTTATTGCTCCACTCTCATCAAGCGGACCATGGAGGCTTCATAGGCGGCCTCAAAGGCGACATGAACCTTGAAGCACCATGCTCATGAAGGATCCCTTCATCCGGTGTCGGGTGCTTGACCGGATCTTTTCGTCTAGGTGGCAAATGATCATGGTAAAAGATTAGCCCGAGCTCATGGATAAGAGGAAAAATCTGAACCACCTCAAGGATGTAAGGCTCTTGATTTTCAACGTGCTCGGTTGCTGGTTGTTTGATCTCGGATAGAAGAGATGAAATTTCGATCATGCTCGGGCCAATTGGTGGAGCTTTTACATCATTTTCACTCTCGAACAGACTGTTATCGGGGCCCCCGATAGCAGTAGTAAATGCTACCAGGTTTTTATCGGGGGGGCCAATATCAGCAAAAATTTGCTCCTCATTGCCTTTTTCTTCATTTTCTTCGTCGTTCGGCTCAAAATTACGTTCGTCCAACACCTCAGGCTCTGTGTCGCTGCACATCCTCAGGTCTCCGACATCATCGTGGCTGGCTTCGGCTTGAGATAATAGCCGATTCTTGGCTCGGGCATCCAATTCGCTCAATACATCACCAATCGCTTTGCTACTAGCCATCAAAGAATTTTGACACTCCTCAAATAACTCCATCAATGACGGACTAGTCTCTTGTTCAAACGAAGGTTCTGAAAAATATTGTGAGCCTTCATAATGGAATTGAGAGTCATCGTGCTCATAAGTAGGCTCATACGATCGAGAATACTGTGGATTTTCATAGAATGAATCTCCACGATCGCCCCAACCATAATAGTTTCTATCAAAATTTGAGTACGTCCAATTGTCTCGTCGATACCAATCTCTCTCGTTAGCTCTACGTGCACCATATCTCTCGAACAAAAAATTTGACCGCGCGTCGCAACGCGGCAAATTTAAATTTATAAAGTTCCTTAACTAACCTATACTAACTAGTAGTAGCGGCGAGTAAGGGTCGATCCCACGAGGAGCAGGAATTAAATTGTGACAATTTTCGTATTAATCGAACTAAACTAAGAAAGCAGTAAAATGGGAGGTTTGGTTTATAAAACTAAAAATAAAAATAATAAAATAAAATAAAAATCAAATGAAATAAGAGAAGTCCAGTTTTCGGTTCAGTTATCACCCAATCTTAATCTACCGCTAATCAATTTCGACGCTTTCTTTAAATTGCTAATGAATTACTGACCCTAGCTAACAACAAGCTCTGTTAACCGAATTTTCCCTTACAGAATATTTAATCGAAATAAGCTCTTCGACTAAACCTAACTAGCGGGCAACCTAGAATAAGCTCTCTAGATTTAATGCACTAGCAGCATTAATTACTAGGAAAATAGATCAGTCTAAGCAATGGACGCGTAAGCTCGGACCATTTAACTTATGCTCATGTTACCCTAAGGATGCACGACCCCTAGTTTACTACTAACGAAACGAGACAATAACAATTACGGATTAAAGTCTCGAATCTAGGAATTAAACTATGAATATTTAACGTAGTTGGCCAGACTAAATCAAACACCATAATTCATAAACATTAAACACAGATAGCATGAATCAACTCATCAACAAAAATAAATACGATGTCTCGATTAATCAACGATAAATAAAGATCATTCAATTCATAGACAAATCGAAGTTAGGGTTCAAACATCCCCTCAAACTGGATAAAAATCCTAGCCTAACATACTAGTAAAATAAATAAAAATGATAAAAAGAGAGATTAGTTATCTCCCTCGTGTGCGGGTGCGGCTTCCCTCCGCGTGTAATCTCTCCTTCACAGTCCGTGCGTTCTTTCTTTTCTTCTCGGCTTCTGCTCTATTTCTTTCTCTCCGTCCGCCCCGTATCAAAGTCCCAGTCCCTTGGATTAATATTTTTTCTTCCAAATAAATATCCTCCCTCTTCAAATAATTCACCAGACTCCTCTAGACTCAAGACTCTTCATAAACATGCGTGGCAATTAATTCCCTTCGTGTGGCCCTACGATGTGGATGTCCTCTCCAAAATCTGATTTGGAGTCCAAAGTATAATGACCCAATAAGTTACGGGCTTTGATTTTTCATTGCATGGGCCTTAATTCATCTGATATCGGGGGAGGCGATAATTGATAACTTAAACTTCCATCCAATGTGCCGTCGTTCATGAAAACACTCTAATATTCTGAAAATAAATATAAAAATATCAATGTACATGAATCCATCTAAATAATAAATAAGTCAAAAAAAACATAAACGTGCGAATAAATTAAGTGTATAAAAATACACTATTAAATATATAAAAGCTGCACATTTTTCGACCTATCAGAAACCCATCAAATTCACCTCATAAAATCTTGTGAAAAAATTAACAACTATTTCAATTTGCTTGGGATTTCTTTTATATTTTTACTCACAAACTCAGTATCTCATGCTATAATGTATGAGGGAAATGCAACAATGCTGTTATGGAATCATTCCGTCGGACTTTATTACTATTAGATATCATGTAACCGTCGTAGATAGTTAATCTAACGGTTACAAACTGTTGAGAGAAGATGACAATATGACATACAAATTAAAAACGAAAAAATAAACAACATAAGATTTACGTGGTTCGGCAATATGCCTACGTCCACGACGGCTGAGGGATATATTTTATTATGAATCGTACTCAATACATCAATATACCATGCAAGTACTTATATCATAACCCTACAAGGTATTAATTTACTTAAATACCCCGTACCGTATCTCGGTCGCTCCGCTTCCCTCGCTACGCTCGCTCCATTACGCTCGCAGGCATCAACCTGCCTCCTTCCTTTGTCAATATATGAGTCATACCAACACAAACCCACACAAATTATTCCGTAACGGGACCGTAGATCCCATGTATGATGTGTGTGTATATGTAATTATAAATTTTATTAAAATATAAAAGTCTTTGTTGATCACACACTTTTAGGGTTTGGTTCATTTGAGGTCCCTATTATGAAAGGTTGAGCTAACTCATAAAGGGAGTGCAAAAAGTTCCTCACTCTACATAATAGTGTCTTTACTCATCTAATAAATACTTTATCTTGTTTCTTTTATTAAAAAAAATAATAAATTATATGGCCCATTCTTGAACTTGAAACATCACAGAGTACAATTCATGAAGCTCCAAGCATAAGGAAATTGATGAGTGTTTCTTATTTCTCTTGGGTTACCATTGTTTTGTCTTTGTAGTGGGCTATATATCCGCTTTACCCGTGGAACTGTCTTAACAAATAAATGGACACAAAATAAAATGGCCTTTGATTGAAAATGAAATCCTATCATCCTATTAATGGGCAAAGTTTGGTACAAAATACAAAGCAGGTAAGATGAGATCAATATATAAAATAATAGTTCTAATAAAAAATGCCCATCGAATGGTTCCTTTATGGAGTCATTCATAACTTTATGTATTGACACGTGTCCAATGTATATTTTTTGCAGGACACGTGTCAATACACCATTTGTGAATAACTATGGATGACTTCATAAGTCGAGCCATCCGCTGACTCCATAACAAAACCTCTAGCAAAACCTCGGTTCTAATATTTATATATCATGCTGGACTATTTGAAGCTTGCATTTATTTGGATATTGCTTTTCATTTATCTAGTATTTTAAATGCAAAAAAAATGACTAATGTCAAAATGGAATTACTGAATGATATTGCTATGGAGTCATCCGTAATTATTCGTGAAGGAAGATTTTAATTTTATTTTTTCCCCCATAAAATAGTTCCCCAATGTAACGCACGCGAACGGCACGTGATAAAGTGGTGCGGGACCCTTTTATCCCATTGGAAATATGAAGAAAACTTCTTCATATTTGTTGTATGTAATCTCATTGAGAAGCAGACAAGCAAACGTGAAGCAGCTTATCTATAAGAAGAACACTGCAAGAATGGCTATTACATCTTTTTTTTTTTTACTTTCTGAGCACATATTTTTCATAATAAACAAATATGTGCACGCATGAACCATAGTAAGAGTGAAGATGATAACTCACAAGGCAAATTCATCTTTCGAGATTTTCATTTTCTTCCTCACTCTGAGATCGAACGGCAGCTTTATCTGGCATTTCCGGTTTGCTACTTACGATCCCGAAAGCCGGATTTTTCTTCAGCTTCATCGTGAGATATTCTGCTAACACGATTTTCCACAGCACCGTCTTCTGAACGATCTTCTCTTGGGATTTGTGGGTTTCGGGTTTGAATTTCCAGACCTAATCCTTTTGCGAGACAAACGTACTTGAACACTAACTGCTTATAACTAATTAGCAAATCCTCCACATCGCCAACTGTCAAATCACCAGCTCGGGAGTACAGAAATGGAAAATCCCGTAAAACACGCGTTGCCTCACTTTCCTCGAGTAGTGATGATTGATCTTTCTTGTATCTTTCATCAGTTTTTAGTGATTTAATTTCGGATGATTCTGAAAGATGTGCTCGTGCAGATTCCACGTTCTTCTGAAATTCAGTTTCGTCCATCGAAAGGGCCTTAGCATCAATATTCATAATAAACGAGACTACGGAAAGCATGTTCGTGAAGAAGTAAGCTGCCTCAGCTACCATGTGAGTTTGCCGCCTAAATCTTTGTATGTATGCTAAGTTGGAATGTAGTTGGGCTGGGTTTGCCTGTGCAACATACGTACATCGAATATAGAATTTACATGAGATATCGAGATGAATAAAAAATGATCCGAAACACGGGAAAATACAATCTTGTGAGTTGGTAGTGAAAAATGAGAATTAGATTTTAGAATATTTTCCCTATGGCCTTACATACATGATAATCATATACTGGCACTTAACTTCAATTTTATACAAGAGAATTATAAAGAAAAGTAACAAATGCCATATTACCTTTATAGTCACGTAAATGAGAACTGGGAGGAAATCGTCAGCTCCTGGATGATCCTGATTAGATGCACGGGAGGCATTGATCAATAGGTTACTGATCACCTTGCAGCATTTGAGAATACAAACTAGTTTATCTCTTGGTGCCTTGTACATGCCAATCTTTTGCAGTTCTTGCTGAGCGAGCTGCCATATATAGTGATACACAGAAATGGAGCTACAATTAAAACTACAATATCTTCTCTCTAACAATAACAATTTAGTTTGCAACTTGAAAAACTTCAAAAACGTTAAATCTTTTTCCTTGGTATATTCATCACATCCCAAATCCAAGCAATTCATATACGGCATGTGGAGATCAGAATACAAGTCACATACAGATTCTCAGGCCTAATAGATTAAGAAATTTTACTTAACGAGCACTTAAATAGAATTTAAAGCTTGCTCCTTCATCCGCTCACCACCCAAGAATTCTCATCTTGAAACGTCGTCTTGATGTCCAAATTCTCCGGCCGAATAAATTGTTGAAGTAAAGATATCTTCTCATTAAGCTGCTCATCAGCTCTGATGTCTTCTGGACTCGAAGCAAACACGCGTGTGAATAATTTTGCCATTACATATTTTTCTAGGCCCTGTAAAGCACAAAACAGGTAGAATTAGGATTCCCAAGATGAAGTTAGAAACAAAGATACTGCATGCAAGTGGATGCAAGATAGTTTCCTTTACATCACAACAGTCAAACATGCGAAAAGATATACAACCTTACACACACACACACACACAAAAAAAAAAAAGCAAACATAGTAGCAGAACACAAAACTTCTCACACAGTACTGAGAACAACATAAAAATTAAATGCCAGATATAACTTATATAAAAAAGTAATATTTTGTAAAGATTACAGAAGCCCCCTCAATCGTTGACAGTTTGGCAATGTTTTACACTTCACACTCTTTATAAGCAAAGACATTTCAAAACCCTTCTTATATCTGTATAACTATAGTCTATAACAAATATCTCTTATATCAATGACTATAAAATTCAAGAGACTTTCTCTATTCTCATATTTTTCAGAAAGCTCAGTTTTTATTCTTAATTATCTTCTCGCTTTTTTTCGTTGTTGTGGTTGTAGAATTAGATACTTACTTCGCCTGCACTTTCAAGATCTGCCTCTGAATATCCGGACCACAGGCGGTGGGCCCTGAATGCTGCTTCCATATTGGCAAAAAATTGCTGCACGGCCACGCTGTCCCTTTCTGCATCCGGGACATTGTTCGAAAATGACACTATAAAACTGCAAATACATCAGCTCAGATGCAGAGTGTAACTTCTACTGTTGAAAAACAGATAACAAAGAACACTAGCTACAAATCTCCATAAAGGAAACAATAACAATTTGGCGAGATTCTAGTCTCTCAGATTTGTGCATGCCCAATAAACGGCCTACATGCCAAACTATTCAAGAATGAAACTTAAAAGAGAAGAAGCAATTCTATAAATTTAGTGCAGTATATATCAAATGGTACTAAAGTAAACAACAGTACATCAAAGAAATAAAAGGTAATTACATTAACTGCGAGCTGGTACAGAATCAGATTGTCGTTATAATAGCCAGCTGTTAAACACTTAACTAAATCTAATAAGTCAACCTTAAAAAGTAAACTGGAAACATCACATAATGTTGGATGGGTCGAGAATAATCATTTTGCAACCTAAAATCTAAATGAATATACAGTGTGCATAACTTCAAAAGGATGAAGCTCCAAACATGATAAAAATATAAACTGGAAAATCAAGTGCAGTAGTTAAAGTCAAGTTGAAACTTACTCAAAATGAAACTTTTATATTCAAAATGTTCCTTTATATGAAGCAACACGGATAATACCTCTAGCTAACAAGAATTCGCACCAAAATGACAACACAATATTTACTCGAAACAAAACTTTTACTAGACTCAAATAGTCAAATTGCACCTTTATATGAAGCAATATGGATAATATAACTCTAGCTAGCAAGAATTAGCACCAAAACGATGACGAAAATTTTACTCAGAACAAAAGCATTAAACTCAAATTGCTCATTCATACGAAGCAATACAGATAACAACTCTAGCTAGCAAAAATTAGCACCAAAATGACAACGAAAATTTCACTCAAATAAAGCCTTTAGACTCAGATTGGTCCTTTCTAAAAGCTCAATATGTATAATAACTCCAGTCTCCAGCTACAACAGTTACCACCAAATTATAGCGACAAATCCAAATCAAGCACAATCTATCTCTATGGCAGCTCAGCTAACTTAAACCAGATCCAAATTCACGAAACTCATTCACCATTGATTTTGCTCGATAATTCATACCAACAATCAACACAAAAATAGCTACAGTTAGTAGCAACGGCTGTTCCTTTTTGCAGGTTTCGAATTAAACAAAATGAAATTAACGATAAACTGCAGCTACGATAAACACCACCTTTTGATGGCTTTGACGAAGTCGGCGGCGGAGGGGTGGCGCATGCGCTCGAGGAAGTCCTGCCACGTCAGCGTAGCCGACGATGGGCTAGGCACGTCGACGTCGGGAGTCTCCATCGCCGGCCAATAGGGTCAACGGCCAATAGCACAACAACTACACAATCTTATAAGGCCGAGCCCAGCCCAATTTCAATTACAACTAGTATTTGATATGTGCATTTGCACAAATATATAAATAAAGTATTGTGAGTATTTGTATGCATATAATGATTAATGATTTTTGATAAATTTACAATTAAAGGAGTTGAAATATTTATTTTTTTGAATTGCGTTTATCATATTGGATGTAATGTATATTTTGGTATGTATCTTTTTTTGTGAATTATTTATTTATTTAGGAATTTCAAATACGTTTCCAAGAGAAGTTCATTGAGACGTAACCACAACAATAACATCTACTCATGTTAAATAGTCAACACATTATATGGTCAGCTGTAAATAAATAAAAATTTTAAAATGATTTTTGTAATTTTGAAGTGATTAGTGTGTGTTGATTAATAATTAAATGAAAGGTTAAATAAATAAAAAGTAACGGCTTTTGGAGGGAAAAAATTATTTTGCCACATAGATATAATTTAATAGGTTTTATTAAATGCTCATGAGCCAACAATTATATATATATATATAGATTAGTAATATTAATTTGGGGTTTGGATCAGACCCGTATCACGAACATAATCGGCAACCCGACCGCGTGCTTCGTTAACTTTCTAACACACATTTTTTTCATAGGAATTTATAATTTTTTTTTATGAAATTAGTTTTACGAATATCATTTTTTGCTAATATTGTTGTTGATGTCGGAAATCGGACGATCAACGGTCAATTATAAGTTAAATATTTTGTAGAAAATTGAAGAACAAAATAATTAAATGAGTGATTTTAATTTCTCCGTTCTTGAGAAAGTTTTCTCTCTTTTTATTGTTGAGATGAATGAGAATGATAAAGTAGACATGGCCACGGGTCACCTGGTCCGCCAACCCGGTCCGGATCGGACCCGGCATGGCACGAACCCGGCCCGGTCAAACTCGTTGACCACGGATCTGGGCCCGACACAGATTTCAAACGGGCCGGTCAAGGGTCATGTTTTTTTCGACCTTGACCCGGCGGGCCGAGCCGGGTCTGTGTCGGCACGGAAAAAAAAAAATTGCTTTTGAATTTTTTATTTTAAAAAAAAAAAATTATGTGGCCAGCGGGTCATGGACCCGACACGACCCTAGGTCCATGCCGGTTTACGGTCGTCAAAACCCAACCTGGTGGCTCAGTTTTGGCCATGTTTATTCGGGCCTAGCACGGATTTCAAACGGGCCGGTCAAGGGTCATGTTTTTTTGACCTTGACTCGGTGGGCCGGGCCAGGGCGGGACGAGTCTGTGTCGGCACGGAAAAAAATATTGCTTTTGATTTTTTTTTTCTTTTTAATTTTATTTTTTATGTGGCCGGGTCCAAACCCGGGTCATGGACCTGGCACGATCCTAGGTCCGTGCCGTTTTAGGGTCGTCGAAACCCAACTTGGTGGCCCTGCGGGCCGGGCCGAGTTGTAACCCGACCCAATTTTTGGCCATGTCTATGGTAAAGGGAAAAAAAAGTCTCTTTCTCTCTCATCCCCCTCTCATATATATAGCCCTTATTTTCACACGTGGATCATGAAAAAAATAAGAGATAATACATTATTATCTAACATGAGATTCCCTCGTGGAACCCGCTTATAACTTGTTAGAATATCACTTGTGAGTTGTCCCACATTGTT